TTATTTTGTAGATAAAAATATGCCCCCCAGATGCTCTGCACCACAATGCGCCGCATCGTTAGCATAGGCTTTATTTAAGTCACTGATAATTTAGTGACCATCAATCCAACACAATGAATAATTTCATTTTGCAGTTGTATCCTTATTTATAGCCTTCTGGGCCACTGCTTCAAGTTGTTTTTGACTCGCGTGTATCAAAATAAAAGTGAACTTGGAAAGAAAGCAAAACGACCTTGGCGGGAGTAGGTTAACCGAGAGGCAGTTGCTATGACATAACTGACCGCGGTTTGCTGACCCCAAACATCTAACCTCACTCTCACGTATTCAACCAGTCTAGTTCGGAATCCTTCCTTTCCTATTAGTTTTCAAATATTATACTATTATTTTTTTAACTTATTTACTTTTTGAAAGTGAAGCTTCTTTAGAGGCGCTAAGGTAACTGAGTGCCTTGAAGAGCGTCACTTATCTGAGACTTAACTCAGCTGACCCAAAATATTTAATTATAATTTAAATTTTATCTTATTTAAATTATGATTATATAATTTCTGATGATTTATATCAATAATTAATAAAAAGTATTGATATAAATCATTATTAACAATTTTCACAGATACACTCAGCTTCATAGAGTATATACAACGGCTCTTGACGCTTGCAATACAGAGTAACAAATGAAGTGGATAACGAAGTAGTGAAATTTAAACAAATTATGTAAAAGTACGTTCAAAGCTACAGGACAAAAAAAGTCTCTCCCACCCCCGGGTATGTGAGCCCCGTCAGCCTACTATAGACAACTCACACAGACCGGGCGTAGGACTGATGACCCTACCCCGTGTACTTAATCGGGAATCGGGATATGGTCTACCAGGATGTTAGTAGCCCCCCTGAGGTTCGGTCCATGGACGACGGTCTGTTTCGGGGAAAGAAATATAGGTCCTCGTGCGCCTGCTGACTCCGAGCAGCCATAATCCATGGATCTAGAAAGATTTGTCACTGTTCTTGAACCCGAGTGAGTCGGTGGGAAGGCCACTGTCAGATTAGCCCCAAAGGAATCGGCTATGGAGCTACGGGTGGCCTGCCGCTGCACTATGGAGACCATGGTTCGTACCAACGTGAGGTTGGGTGACCCCCTCCAAGCTATCTGAGCTCCCGCAAGCAGCATGCGTCTGTAAGGAGACCACATCTCGCGGCCAAAGATCTTCTTGGTCTGTACTGCCAACCGAAAAAAAAAATATATATATATATTATAAAATTTATTCTCTTCCACACGATTATATTTTCATAATATATATATATATATATATATATATATATATATATATATATATAATATATATATATATATATATATATATATATATATATATATATATATATATACCTAGAACCTATAAAACTCTTCCTTACTTAATAAATCGATATATCAAATAATAGATGAAGAAACTATTGAATTTGGACTTGGAAGGACAATATGCAAAGAATGAAGGAGGATTTCTAGGTAAAATTTAAGTATAATGTTAGAACAACAGCAATTATTTTTTATTGTCTCTTGGGGTGGATGAAAAACCCGAAACGTAAGACAAAATAAAATAAATATGGAAGAGAAAAAATAATTCTGTTTAAATTAAAATTAAAAAGGTATAAACAAATTTGACTTAAAATTAGTTTTTTTGATTTTGAATAGGTGTAAATGATTTCGTAACAATATAGAAATGTCTACAACAGAAACGTCTGGAAACTTTTGGCTGGTGGTGGGAGTCTGACACATTCTTATTCTGCTTCAACCATTCATTGAAATGCTTGCCATGAAATCGGTTTGGCTTGACTCTGGCACAATACTATTGTTGTCACGTTCGTAACGATGAGATTCTTCGAAAACGGACTGTTACGCTATCCATAGTACTTGTCTCAATCGATTCCTCATTCCATTCTAAATATAGTCTCCTGAATGGCTATCTGTCTATTTCTTAACCCCAGTACAAATTCAAGGTTAGAAAATTGGTACTGATTTTTTTCAAATACTTCGTATACGGGTCATAAGGTACTATTTCATGCTCAATTCTCTAACTTGCAGCATTGTTCTAAATATATAATATTTCATATAGAATACAGAAAATCTGGAAAATTTCATAACGAAAATTTTCTTATAAAGATTTAGTATTTTATTAAATATTTATTGTAAAGATTTGGAGTATTTGAGAAGTCATAATCACGAGAAGTTGGCGATGTATATCCAGAGTTGAATTTGGAAGGATCCATAAGCTCGTTCTCTACCAAGTAAAATCTTTAAACATGCGGAAGCTACTTAAATTTACCGAAGAACACGAAAATTGGAGGAAAAAAGAATTGAAGAAGTTTCTATGTAGGGATGAGTCAAAATTTGAAATGTTTGGTTGCGGAAGGAGCACGGGCGGATCTACGGGGGGGGGGGCTTTCGGGCTGAAGTCCTCCCCCAAAATGGAAAAATATAACCATGTTTTATGGGAAAAAAAATTTTAAAAATACCTCTTAAAGTATTATTGTTTGTGTAATTACATTTAAAAGTACTTAAGGAATAACTTAAACACCATTTCATATAGGTAGTTAGTTTCTTTCTGTTTTTCCAAAGTAATTATCGTTATTTTTATGAAAAAAAAAAGGTTTCGGGCTGAAGCCCCCTCCCCCCAAAATTAAATCCTGGATCCGCTAGTGGGAAGGAGGCAATATTTTTGAGAAAATCTAGAGTGGAATTTTCGAATGAATATTCGCAACCAACAGTAAAACACAAAAGTGACTTCTTTATGGTATGTGGATGTTTTTATAAATCTATAGTTGGAGACTTCTTGTAGAATAGATGGACAACTGAATAAAAAACGGTACCGTAGCATGCAATATCATCTGGGCTTAAGCTGATTGGGTAGAACTTCATTTTTCAGCAAGATAACAATAAAAAGCATGATATTTTACCATACGTCGTGAAACAAAAGAATTATAATATAGAAAACAAATACAGTTTTCTATAAAGAAGAAATATGGAATGTAATATTAAATGATCGAATAAAGTAAAGAATTCCAATATTATAACAATTTTCACAGATACACTCACCTTCATACAGTATATACAACGGCTCTTGACGTTTGCAATAAAGAGTAAAGTGGATAACGAAGTAGTGAAATTTAAGCAATAATGTAGCATTATTCAGAGAAGATAAAACATCAACACAACGGATTGGTCCCTTGGCTTGTTGTTATTTGAAAAGAATGCTAATTTAAATATTTAATACATCTACAATCAGGGGTGCCCATCCTCCCAAAGTCGATGGCGCAAGAACCTACCTTTCTCCCTCTTCCTAAGATATTTTATTGCTCAACTTTTCTTAAAAACCGTGCGAGCTAAGGTAGAATTAGAAAAATCGTAGATCATATACAATTATACTTGCTGCTGTATGTTGCATGTTTTTCTCCTTGTCCCTTTGTCCGGAATTTATAACCCCGTCGAACTTGCTCCCCTCAAAAATTCAAAAACCCATAAAAATATGCCCCCCTAAAAAATTTTGATGAAACCCCCTTCTGGGCACCCCTGTCTTCAATGTCTGCAAGGTTAGATCTATTTAGAATTAATAAGATAAAAACTATTTAAATCGAAACATTTTTCATTTTTATAAAAATTCTTTTATACAGACTTCTTCCCACCGGTATATATACAATAGAATATAAATAGAGATGGTATTATTATTGTTGATTGGGTTGGACGATTTCAAAACAGGAACGAATTTCCCAACTGGATTCTCACCTTGAAAGAACACAATGAGAGGTGACCACTGATCAGGTATTCCAGGCACACTGTTCGAGGGAAAGCCACCTAGTTTAAAACGGATGGATTCTTGTGGCTATAGGTGGCCTAACTACAATATTATAAACATTAATTTAAAAAGTCGTAAGTATAAGTATAAAATAAAAAAAATATCTATAAATTACTTCAGTAGGAAAAAATCGGTTGTTAAAAAGGACGCTTTCCTTTTTTTTTTTTTTTTTTACAACGGATGTACAAGATGTTGTGGTCACCATCCACGCTCAATCGCTAGGGAAAAGCACAATAAAATTGTACGGCTGCTCAACTGTGATGAGTTGCTAAATCACTAAGAATACTCATCAGGCATAATCGATACCCTTTAACAAAAGAGAACACATAAGATAAAGTATTATGGGACCATCATCAAACGTACCGAATGTTATAATTCATTCTCATTTTCTTCCCTCTCACTTTTATTCAATGAGTCCACAACAAAGCGCCCAGAATTAATGCAGATGGTGTAGGATTCTCAATTAGTCTAAAATAATGGATTCTGCTATACTTTGCAGATAGCTCCTTTCCACACCCAGTTCTTCCAAAAAATCAGCAGTTGAAAATGGAATCGCTCTTCTACTTCCGAACCATAGTCCCCAAACCTTCTTTCTCACCTAATTCCAATCTATATTTGTCTAGGAGGTACGGTATGCATTTTTTATGTATTTTCTCTTTTTCTTTTTGTACTTTGAGATCCTGATCATCATCGTCTTTTACAAATCTAATAGTAGGATCAGCTATCAGAGCCTCTTTTCCTTTCGTATTAAAGTCTAAGATGTCTACGAAACTCACTTAGCCTTCCGTATCAAGGCAGGTACAGTTCCATGAAGCATCTATAATTTTTCGTCTTCAGAAATTCGGCAATTCAATGCTTTACATTATTGTGCAGACGGGGGACAATTATTCCACCACTCACATAAACTCATTTTATAGAGGCTGAGTGTGCCCCAGATCAGTTTCTAGTCTATTCACGTCTTTTTTATCAAAGTCATCAATATCAACAAATAACAAATAAAATTATCTGCTATATATTGGATTTGAACCATATATTTTAAGAACAACATTTGTCAAACATAATTATTTTGAATCAATACTGTGCACCATGCATAGAAATTTGAAAGGTAACTAATCATATCATGTCATTCATGTAATATTAATTAATTTGCTTTTTCAGATGAGGCACGAGTTGTTTGCTACTTCAGTAATTGGGCCATCTACAGGCCTGGTATTGGGCGCTATACCATAGACGACATACCAGGGGATATGTGCACTCATGTCATATATTCATTCATAGGCGTCAGTAATGTAACATGGGAAGTTCTGATCCTGGATCCAGAAGTATGTAATATATATATCCTTTTTAGAACAAAAGTAGTTTTATTTTTTTAATTTACTATTTACTTTAAACATTAAAATGTATGTACATCAAAACTAAACGAGCTATGTATATATATGTATATATATATATATATATATATATATTTTATATATATATATATATATATATTTATATATATATATATATTTTATTTTATATATATATATGTATATATATATATATATATATAATCTTATAATTGTGGGTTGATGGTTGGGATAATCAGTCAAAATAAAATAGTAAACAAACATAATTGTATTTATTTTCACTTTCGCCGACGTTTCGGCCTGAAGCTCAAGCCTTTATCAGGGCTAAGAAAAGAACCAGATAAAAATAGGTATAAAAACATTGAATAATAAATAATTTAAATTTAAAAAGGTGAAAGGTATAGACTAAAAAATGTAGGTAGAAAAACTTATTTTAAAATAAACTTTTTATTCAAGATATTTATAACTGTATTACAATATAAATAAATCAAGTAAATGTGTACACAGGAACATAATCACATGATATAAGAAACTATAAACATTGAATAATAAATAATTTAAATTTAAAAAGGTGAAAAGTATAGACTAAAAAATGTAGGTAGAAAAACTTCTTTTTTTTTTAAACTATATATTCAAGATATTTACAACTGTATTACAATATATATACATCAAGTAAATGTGTACATAGGAACATAATCACATGAAAACGCTTGTTGAAAAACTACCTATTAGTAGCACTCTATAGAAAAACATAGTAAAATAAGGAATTTTACTATAAGTTCTTCTACCAACATTTTTTTTTTTTTTTTTTAGTCTATACCTTTCACCTTTTTAAATTTTAATTCATTATTATTCAATGTCTATAGTTTCTTATACTTATTTTTATCTAGTTCTTTTCTTAGCCCTGATGAAGGCATGAACTTCGGGCCGACGTCGGCGAACGATAAAAAAAAATACAATTATTTATTTTTACTATTTTATTTTGACTGATTACTCCAACTATCCTTCTCTTCTATATATATCTTAATTTATTAAGTATATTGAACTAACTATCTAACCACGAAGTACAATGTATTTTCAGGTAGACGAAGATCAAGGAGGATTCAGAAATTTTACGAATTTGAAGAGTAAATATCCGAACCTGAAAACGAGCTTGGCCGTTGGAGGTTGGGGTGAAGGTGGTCGCAAATATTCAGCTCTCGTTTCAATGAAGGAAAGGAGGAAGAGTTTTATCGCTAGTGTTGTTGGTGAGCTCATACCCGCTATCTCTTGAAATAATTTAGAACTTTTATCTAACTTTATCATAACTAAATGCATTATAACATTCTTATCGAAACACGCATATTTTATCCTTATCGTGATATATACTCGCAAAGAAAGAACAGAAATAACATTATATTCTCGAACACAGTCCTCCAAGAATAACGGATATGTACGATTACAGTTTCATTTGTTTGGTATAATATATTAATTAAAAAAAAAAAAATAACGGCAATCATAAATAAATAAATAAAATTAATGAATTAAAGATAAGTAAAATCGACATGTTTACTATTTTGCGCTTTTATGCGATCTAAATGACAACAGTAAAATAATACACTAATAGCACAAAAGATTATTCCGACATATATTAGCAAGATTTTTGAGGAGACGGAGAAATAGTTGATGCTTAAACAAGATTCTCTGTATGAAGGTGGGTAAGGAATTACAAAACAAGTTAGCACTATGACAAGAAATAAAAAAGTTTTTAGGTTGGGATCTTGTGTCTAAAGAGTGGTCGAAAGAACAAGAGGTGAATGAATTAAGGCTGTAAGGAGGCTTTTAAATTTTTAAGGACCGGCTAAGGTAGACGCCACGGAAATATTGTCGGAAACCTAGACAAAGCCATTTTAACTCGGCATAGTAACTGAGAATGTGGGAGCAACTGAGGGATCGGAAGATAGGTGTAATGAAACCATTCATCATTTTTCTTTTCAATAAATAAATGGAAGTAATGGAGTTCAGATAAATAATAGTTGGTATGTTTATTTGTTTGAATTTGTATACACTAATATATAAAAAAACATCCTATATTTCTCTAACCCATGAAGGGTCTTGAGTTCACTACTATTTAGGGAAAGTCCTGTTTCTTAGTTAACGGTTGTTCAAAGAGGTGATTTGAATGAGATCATGCTCAACCACCAGGTTTTCTCTCTTAATTATTTATTAAATTAAGGGTACCTACTTTATAGAGGCTTGGTGTGCCCCAGGAGGGTCTCCTGGTACCGAGGTCGCTGCATGGCTAATGAAAAAGAATAAATCATTTTCTGCCATGAGACGGGATTCGAATCTGTGATCTTTGAGCATTGGAAGACCAAAGCCCTACCACTGAGCACTGTTGCCCAAAATCGGTCTTGGTCTTGGGAAGACCAAGACCAACACCGACTATCTGTTGCAAGACTAAGACAAAGACTGGTAAAAAAAATCGATTTTTTGAATAAAAATTGAGGCAAAATTGTTACTAATGCTTGACAATTTTAGTTACTATGTGTAAAGAATTTGTGTAACCAATATACTTTTGCATTTAATTCTTCTAATTTTTCATTCAGGCTAAGTTAGGTTTCTCATATCTAAAAAAATACAGTAATATCTCTATAATAATAACCTAATAGGTAACTGCAAGACTGTTACGAGAGACTTGCGCAAGACCAAGACAGTTTGCAAGACCAAGCATTTGGGCAACACTATAAGTATAGATTAATGTCACACAAACATTATTCCTAAATATATTCGTAAGTTGTTTTTTTGAGGGTATGGGGGAATAATTGGTGTTTTAATGAAGTTATAATGATAAAAGATGAGGTTTTACCCATGGAGGTTGATAAGGAATTCTAAAAGAAGAAAGCACGCATGATAAAGGATTTTTATTTGATCCTGTCCTATCATTGACTAAGGTCATTTCTTTATTTTTCTTTTTATTTAATAGTTTATTAATAGATTTTACTTTATTTCTAAAACTATAAGATTTGTTTGCAACTATTTCAATATTCATGGAATACACCGGTTTCGTATAAATTGAGAAGTAAAATATTTTTTTTATTCATTGATATTTACAACAGTATTATAAAAAAAATACAACTAGTAAATGTGCACTCAGGAATATAATAACATGAAATCTCTTGTTGAGAAACTACCCACTGATAGCACTCAAAATAAAATATTTTAAACCTGAAATATTACATTTTTTCCCAATTAGAGACCGTAGAGATAGTGGATAAAGGAATTCATTCACGACATATTTACTGAAAGTGTAGATAAATTAAATAGAAATAAAATTAAAAAAATAAAAATCAATGTTAAATAAAGTAAATTAAATGCCTTAAACACTTGGGCAAGATATTCAAACTCAGCCAACAAAACTGCTAAACAAGCTTGTCTCCCACTCATAGAGATAAAAACAGGATTCTATGAGATCCCAGTGCTTTTCTTTCAACTACATATTTACCATTAAGGTGAAGGCTCAGAAGAACTCTGTATCAGCAAACGCACAGGACTTAAAAATTAAATAAAATAAATATTACAGGTGTTGAAACAGTTATTTTTTTTTCAAATGAGTCCAGTTTTAACTATTTGAAAACAATACTTTTATCAATAAGAGGTTAAAGATAATTTTTTTTTCAGAACTTTTATTTAACAGTTTACCTTTAAAAAGTGTTTACTGTTTTAATACATTCATGAATGCCATAAAAAATTATTTGTTAAACATTTACTTATTCATTCTAAAATAAAAGTTATAAGTTGCATAAAATTACAAATTATAATAGAAGTTCATAATTATTACACTGCTCAGTACTCAGAGTGGAAAACTAATAAATTCTCTATGTTCCTGGAAAATATTTCAATGTTAACTTAAAAAACATTATACAATGTAAAGTTTTACATGTTAATCAGAACTGTTTTATAAGAAAAGTAAAAGCTTTAATTTTTTTTATTTAACCTAATACATACTATCTTGTTCCATACCTTGTAAATATTTGCTATGTTAAATGCATAGAAAAATTAATTATTTTAATGTTTTATATACTATGGCCAAAAAAACTATTCGTTCACCATATGTTTTATCCAAAACTCTTTGTATTTATGTTTTCAACATGAATTAACTATAGATAACAATTAGAGACGTCATTTTGCATCAATTGTACAAACAAGTAAAATTTTATAACTTATATTGTATGAAAAATATCAAAATTTTCAAATATGAAGCGCAAAAAAAATATTCGTCCATTTAACTAACCCCCAAAAAATATAATAAATATAAATTTCAATTAATTTTAATATTTTTAAAGTTTTTTTTTACGTTTATCAAAGTATTGAGCCTCTTGGTCTCTGGTCCAATTTCTTCGCAAGTTTTTTTAAGATCGTTTATTATAGTTCAAGAAGAACAAGGATATTTTCGGATTTGTAATTCCAGTAGCGCCCATAAATTTTAAATTGATTGATTGATTAAGATTGTGTTTGTGGGGGTGTTTTGAGAACTTTTCTCTATTTTTTATTTATGTTTCTGTATATTTTATTCCGTAAGATCCTAATATATTATACTTGCTTTCATCCGAAAACAACACATTTTTTCAAAACGTGTTGGGTTTATTTACATATTTTCGAGAAAACTCCGATTTTTTTTTCTGTTTATTTCGTTTGTAAAATTTTGTTTTACTTAACACTCTACCTCTATAGCCAGCTTCGTGTGGCCGATTCCTCGTGGTTTGGGGTATTACATATTTCCCATAATCTGATGCGATGTGAGCCGAAACCTCTCGAACACTTAATTTGGGATTTTTTGTCCCTTATACACAATTTCACAATATTTTACCACAGTCAACAAGAGTTTCCCCCTTGGGCGGGATTTAATGTTCACTGATTCGGATTTAATTTTTTTTTTATATTGTATTCCATTGTCGTGTGAGGTGGTCTGAACGTTTTCCAATATACCCCAAACTTAAGAACCTTGTTAAAAATATTTTACGTCTTCTTGAATATGAGAACTCATTTATTTGAATCTACGATCCATTGACGAAGAAATATTTTTTAGTATTAAACAAGCGATTTCTTGTGCAGTTTTATCCTTTAATCTTCTGGAGTAACAGGTTATAAATAGATATAAATTAGCACAATATGTCATAACGGTTACATGCTTATGGCAATATTACATTACACATGTTACAATAAAGTGGTGTGATTGCTATTTTTTATGCTGAAATATATTTTGTGTAGTATGAAAAATTAAAAAAATATACATAAGTTATAAAAAGGAATAAATATCATATAAACTATATACTGACATTAAAATGTATAAATAACATAAAACTAAGAACACTATCACATGTTTTATATCTTATAAATTATTATCCAATAATTATTGCGGAAAGTATGTTGCTGCTCGTTTATCAATATTTTTAATGTTTGACAGATATGATGAATAAATACGGCTTCGACGGATTCGACCTCGACTGGGAGTACCCAGGAGCAGCTGACAGAGGAGGCAGTTTTTCAGACAAAGACCGTTTCTTGTACTTCGTTGAAGAATTAAGAAGGGCTTTTGATGCTCAGAATAAAGGATGGGAAATAACTATGGCTGTACCATTAGCCAAATTCAGGTTGAATGAAGGGTACCATGTACCAGAATTATGCGAGTAAGTGCAATATTTTAATCACATTTTGTTCATGGTTTGAGGGAAGCAAACGTTAGAGGCAAGTCAAAAGTAAATTGCACCCCTAACACACTGTTTAAAAAAGGGAATTGAATAATTGGATGACTTATTTAAAAAAAAAAAAATGTAATTCTTGATATCTTTTAACTAAATACTCCAATTCGTGTAACCACGATGTTTTCCTTTTTTTTTTTTTAAATTAGTTTATCTATTGAACAATAATGGAATCTGCCACATCCAATGGCCACAAGTATTAGTGCTAAAGGTACCCATTGACACAATATATACATAGAACAAAAATAAATAGTTAATTACAAAGTAAAAAAATAAATATATAAAATAATAATGATAAATAGTTATAAAGAAAGTATAATAATTTAGTAACTCGACAAACAAAAAGGACGCAACATCTAACAAAATCATGAAATGAAATATTATAACAAAATTAGTAAAACAAAAAAAAGTAAATTAAGTTGGATAAAAATAAAAAAAAAATAAAAAAATGTCATCTAACATACATTCACACGCATATACAACATTTACATTCAGCCAAAAGACCCCGAACCAAGTGTAGACCTCCACGTGTTGAAGGCAAAACAAGGCTCCAGGAGATCCCAGCGTTTCTCTTCAAGTCGCGTCATTGGGATTGGAAACCAGTGGAAACTTCATTTAACATTCAGGATAATGATATTCCCTTAAAAAATGATTTAGCTTCAGGAAAAAAAAAATATATAATTAAAAACATAGTGCGGTAAACGAAAGCTTAGAGATCATTGGTTGTAAACTTGTCTTCTTTCACCTTCAGATATAATTTTGAATCCCCATATATTAAATTCTGCACCTAATGATTATACACTTGTTGTTATCATAGCTTATCTTCCAACCATCCAGTAGAGCAGCATAAGGTTTGGTAAAACCTCCATTGCTTGGTTAATTAACAAAGTTGCTTAAATTAGTTTGAAATAATTTATTGTATGTATACATATTATTTACTAGAGACATTTTGTTTTGTAGAAATATTGATGCGGTCCATGTGATGGCTTACGACCTTCGTGGTAATTGGGCAGGATTCGCCGATGTCCACAGTCCACTTTACAGGAGACCACATGACCAATATGCCTATGAACTGTTGAATGTAGTAAGTATATGCCCTACAACTAATTTTTTTATGATAACACTTATCGATTCTGCAGTTGAGTATCATTTACTGAAAAGTATTCTTCACTCGTTCTATCAAATAATTAATTCAACACTTATTCTGTTTTCTATTATTTATTTTTTTCGTGATTTTACAGAATGATGGATTGCAACTTTGGGTTGACTTCGGATGCTCTCCAGACAAACTGGTTGTTGGAGTTCCGTTCTATGGTCGATCATTTACCCTCAGCCAGGGCAACAATAATTATGGATTAGGAACATACATCAACAAAGAAGCTGGTGGTGGAGCTCCTGCGAATTATACAAAAGCCAAAGGGTTCTTGTCATATTATGAAGTAAGAATTTATTTTGTAATAGGTTCGTTTCAACAATCTACTCTCATTCTTTAAATTTTATTTATTTTTTCAATAAGAGTGAATGAAATATTCCCTACAGAAAGCGATAAAATCCTCTAGACCACTTGTTTGAGGCTAGTTAAAGAGATAATCCTTCCTTGCAAACGTTAGAATAGCTTTATGGATTTTACATGCACTTCGGACTGTTTAATATCGGACTATACATCCCTTTTGTTTCAATAATTGCATTTTATATATCAATCTTATCTTTATATAAGTAGTCTACAATACCTTAATCCTAATTTATAGGTCCTGTTAACCCTCATTAGAAAGGTTTCATTTTTTAAATTCGGTTCGATTATTTGTTTTGAATAATTTTTCTAGATTCTTTTATTACATATAATTTATTGATTCAGTCAAATAGCCTTGCTTAAACTTCTTGTATATTCTGTCCCTAGCCCTATGAGGTCCAAGCTATTGTTCTGGTTAACAATATATTGTTAATCTGTTTGGATAGGGTAGTGACTCAGGAAGAAACTGTGGTAATATTTCGGATCTTTGGAAAGTATGGACTAGTTGAGAAACATGGTGTTGAAATTTAGACACACATTATAGTTATGTCATCTTGAATTTATAGGAACTAAATTATTAAATTTAATTAACATCTCCATAGGCTGTAGCTGCCCTTAGCCCTCTCAATTATTTCTTCCAATCATTCCAGTCAGCGGCAAGTCTGCTGGACAACCATCCTCAAGTCTTTAGCAACTGAGTCCTTCCACCTTCTCTTCAGATTTCCGCGCGGTCTGACTCCATCTGGGGTTACATAGTCTTATTGCGTGGCTAATATACAACCATATGTCCTGATTACGTGTCCCAGCCTATTTACAGTTTACTACGGAGATAAAGTCTTAACGAAAAATATGCTTTGTTAGCCTCACTATAACTATACGGTTCTGAGTGTCATCCTCTTCGTCCATTGCATTATGTAAATAACATGTTAAAGGTTTAATTATTAATGACCTTTTGGGCGGGAATTATGAATATTCCTTCCGGGGACGAGGTTATTTACACTCGTGAATGTTAAAATAAATCCCCGGCACTGGATATAGACTTTTTGAGGGTGTTTAACTGTTGTTAGGAATTCGGGAACCTAATAATTTTGTGACACTGAGTGAGAAGAAACAATAAGAATATATATATATATATATATATATATATATATATATATATATATATATATATATATCTGAAATGTGGGACTAAGTAAACACTTTGAATGAATAGACTCACCTGGTTTGTTATTCTTCAATTGTGAGGCCTATAGGACAACTAAATAAATAAATGACTTTGCACTCCTGTCTAACAAAACAATTTATTGTGCATCTGTAATAAGTGAATTTATTAAAGTCTTATAACGGTAGTCTTTTATATTCTTAGTCTTCACTGTAGTAGTCTTCGTTTTCGTTAGTCTTCGTTCTCTCCAGCGTCCTTCTTCAGCTGCTGCTACCTGACCGGACCTTTTCAATGTACAATTTGTCCACTGCACAATTCAGTACAATTCACAGTGCAACCTCACATTTCTATATATTATATATTCCTTCTCATCCCCTCACCCAATGTCACATAAAGGAGTAAAGACCGGGGGATGTCTACTAAAATTAGATTATAAACAATAGAGCCGAAATTTCTGAAAGAGGACACTCACTGGAAGGTGTGCTCTTCCAATCCGTATTCTTTGGTGGGTTTAGACGTGTTTTCTTTCAGAGCACCATAATGTTTGTTTTTCCTTCATTAATTGAGGACTCCATTCTATCTGCTTCTGTTTCCAATCCTTTACAGGTCTCATTTATATGCCTATGAACAGCCCAATCAGGGCCAGATTTTCAGCATGAACAAGCAATTGACTAATTTTGCTAAGCATTATGCCTGGGTCATGATTAAATTGAAGTGGCGATAGGGTATCGATTTAACTCTAACCCTTGACTTCACTGCAAAAGGTTGGCCCAGCTTCCTTTACTTTCACATTACTAACGCTCTCACTACATAAAGTGCACGCTGCAAGTCGTATGGATTTTATCGAGATGTCCATCTCTTCCATTGTTTGGTAGAGTTTTGTTTATGGAATCATTCATATGGAGCTTTAAAATCGATAAAAAGGACTCATGTAATTTTATGTATTCATGTAATTCCTTTGTTTTGTTTTTTCCATTATGTGTTTTTAGGAAAAGATCAGGTCGGTAGTTGATCAATTTCTTCTGAAGCTCTCCTAGCATTTACCCAACCCTACAAATTATACTGATCCGTTATATAAAATAAGAGAAAATATTTTGTAAGCATTGGTCAGCAGACTGATTCCCCGATAGTTGTTGCTGAAGAAGCACCTTTATTCTTGAATAGGTGTTTGATGAGTGATTCCTACTAGTTATCCGAAAATTTTCCAATTTCTGCGTTGAATCGTCAATCTCCAAAACTTCCGCCGGTATGCCAATTGAACATAAAGCGTTGTAATCAAATAATAATTGAATAAAATAATTACTTATTTATATTATATTGTTTACTTATTTTAGTTTTACATCCTCATGTAATATAACTATGACAAGGATAACGGATTATTCCACAGCTAACCTATCTATTCTAGCCAAAATATGATGGTCGAGATTCAATCCTCTTTATCTCAAATACTGTTTTTATTTATTTTTTAATGATAAATGTCTATCTAATTTTAATTTATTATTTTATTTATTGCTTAGATCTGCATGGAGCTGGAGAAAGAAAACAATGGTTGGGAACAGAAATGGGATGAACATGGATTTGTCCCTTACACCTACAAAGGTATAGTTTCTACAGCCAAAACATTAACTTTTCATTACTAACAAATCATCATTAAAAAAATATTTACAATAGATCATTTACATTTTAAATCTGTTTAAAATGTTCAACTATATTTATGTTTCAGTCTCCCATCAATTTCTTTTAACATCATTATAATAACTGATACAGTTATTTAAAAGATCTATTATTTTTTTTAATAATAATAATACCTTATTTATTCTGGGAAGAGTCCCTTTAGAATAATACAGAAGAACAGAAATGTGGGCTAAGGAGCCTCAGAGATACATAAAAAAATGCTGAATAATGAAATAGTCATAATAAAAAATTATAAGTTAGTTTCTAATTTAAATAAGTTAATAATAAAAAATTGAAAATAAAGTGAATGAAAATTATTGTTGTCATAATGTAATCAACAATAGTTTGAATAAACCTAAACTAACATTTTTCCAATTTTCCTCTATTGATACAAATAGCTCTTTTGTTATCGTTGACTGGTTTTATTAATAATGGTTTTGATGGCTAAATATGTATCTAAATATTAGAGGCAATTAGCACATTGATTTCCTATCCTTTCTATATAGAGGAAATCAATCAGACCGAATGTCAGTTGGGGTATTAACGTAAAGAAAACATATTGATATATAAAATATATCAATAAAGTAATTCGATAAATAAAAAAAAATGGTATTTTGATATATATATATATATATATATATATATATATAAATAAATTAGCCATGTCATGTCAAAATGGCGTCCAAACATGGCCGACTGACGACTTTGACTTTAGTTAGTTTTTTGGTCACTGAGAATCAGCATTTGGCTTAATTTCGTCATAGTTGGTCTTTTATTAAAGCTGGATAGTCAGAAAATAATAAAACATGAAAAAATATTAAAAATAATTGGCTTAGGCAATAAAAAACACCCGTAAAGTCAATTTTTTTAACAAAAAAATTTTCAAGTTGAAAATCAAGCGTCGTTTGTAATTAAACAGCCAACAATAACACAAAACGTGCTGAAATAAAACATCTGGAGAATATATTTTCTTTCTTAAACACTGATTACTTTTTAAAATATTTGAAGCAGTTCCGTAGAAAATGCACTTAAGCGGCAGAAAAGCGGTACTAGCGTGGGTGCCTACAGGCCTCTACCACACCATTCAGTACTCATAAATGGCTTAGTTATAGTGATATAATAACGTTTTTGTACATTATATTGATTGTATTAACGAACAAATATTAATGCAATAATTTAATTGTCAAAAAAAATAAACAATTTTTTTAAATTTATTATTTAATTTTTTTAAATATAATTTCCTTTATTCTGTACGGAGTCATTTAAGAAGGCGTCTATTGTAATAATGATATAATTATAATAATAAAACTTAATTCAAAAATACTTTGCTGAATATCTTGAATGAATAACACTTTGTTTTGTATATTTAATGATTCTTAGAGGTAATTTAAATTGTATATACTTCCCCGGAATATGAGTCATATTAATACCTGTTTTATAAACTAAAATAATATATACCTAATCTGAACTACATATAATGAATAGCTGCCGGGTTGTTTAGTAAAACTCATATATCACTAATAAAAAATTTCTATTTCTTTTATTTGGTTCGGAAGTTGGACCATATCATAAAAAAATAAGAAATTTTAATATTGATTGCATTATTCTCTCTGCACAAAGAAAGATAGAAAGGGCGAAGCTATAAGTTCTTCTAGGTAACCGGAACTGATTGTTAGTATTATTGGTCTCAAAATGAGGGAAAACGCGAAATTGAAACCAAAAATTGGAAAATACATAAGCGAATCGAGAAAGGAAGTGCCAAAATCTCGGAAAAGAAAACAAGGATCAGTATCCATTATATGGCTAAACGAATATATAGTAGACAGATGAACAGAATATTTCAAGATGCTGCTAAAAGGGGTCAAATGCTGGAGCAGCTTTGATGATATTAAGGGGACGATGCAGGTTTATTATGGTGAAGACCATTTTATCAGCAAGAAAGATTTGTTCGAAGCAATTGGCAAGTCAGCTGGTCTGGAAGAACTAAACCGAACTGCTTCGCACTGTTTTACGCGTACATAGGCAATAAATGTATTAGAACGTTTGCGTTTTGCGTTATTGTTGGCTGTTTAATTACAAACGACGCTTGATTTTCAGCTTGAAATTTGTTTTGTTAAAACAATTGATTTTACTGTTGTTTGTTGCCTAAGCCAATATTTTTTTTATATTCTTTCATGTTCTATTATTCTCTGACTATCCAGCTTTAATAAAAGACCAACTATGACAAAATTGAACCAAATTCTGATTCTCAGTGACCAAAAAACTAACTAAAGTAAAAGTCGCCAGTCTATGTTTGGACGCCATTTTGGAGCAGTTCGTTCACTTTTTTCAGTGAGAATATTGTTTTTTATTTAATAAATAGTTACAAGGAACACAACGATGTGCAATTTATAGGGATGTGAGGAGGGGGGGGGGTTGCACCGCAGGGGGGGTCGGACCCACATATGGGAAACACAATTATTTAACTTAATTATTGAATGAGCTACAAAAAATCTACAAAAGTATTAACATTTATTATTAAAAATATTGATTAATAATTCTAAGAAATAGAGAAAAATAAATTAAATTGCTCAAGACAAAAACAAATAATATTAGTTCTGAGGCAACATTTAAAAATATTATATATCATATTTAATTTACTCACCAGTGAGTCGACGTTCCTTGTAAACATTTTTTATTTTATCTGTTTGTTTAATTAATTTATTTTCAGAAAAATGTCGGTTTTGAGTAATCAAATTTTAATATCTATATTATAATATATCGATATATTTGTATAAAGACAAATGACATGATGACCGACTACGTTGATTTCTCGGCGGTCACGGGAAATGAATTTTGACCATCCCATTCTGGTAAGTACGCAGAAGCAACCTCAAGGTAGCCGTCAGGGGTTGGCAAGAATGACCACGAGGCATACTTACCGTTCACAGTTAACAAGTTCACTTCGTCAGTAGCAGTACCAGAGCTAGTATAAAAAAATCTATATTGTGTTATTTTTTCCGACATCCCTAATATGCCAGTCAAGCATTTAATGACAAAAGGGGTGACAAATTTTGGACTCTTTTAAATAATTTTTGTAAATATCTATTAATTCTATTTTAAGTGAATACCTGAGCTCCACATAGTGAATTGTGGAGCAGTTAATTGCTCTAAATACGACCAGTTTTTCACATAAATTTATTTTTTCAATATTGAATTTAAATAAAGTTAACAATGTGTTTATTTATCATAAATATATCGTTTCAAGTGATAAATCGTTTTAAAATCTTAACTATTTACGCCACCTTAATTTATATTACAAACTATTATTAATAATACGTGTATAATATTATTTTTATTTTAAATTATTTTTTGTTTTTCAATAAATCCATTTATTTCAATAATTGCAGGTACTCAATGGATTGGATACGAGAACGAAAAGAGTCTACAAATCAAAATGGACTGGATAAAATCCAAAGGATACGCAGGAGCTATGGTTTGGGCCATTGACATGGATGATTTTAGAGGTGTCTGTGGTTCCAAAAACCCTCTCATAAATGTTCTCTGGAAAAACATGAAGGACTACCAAGTACCTCGACCAACAGTCTCTACCACACCAAGGGTAATAATCGTTATAAAATATTACAATATCAAATAAATACACACTTGATTTCAATATTAATAACCTTATAAATTATTAAATAAAATATATAACTGTAAACTTCTATACAATTAAAAAATGGATGAACGTTCAGAGGGATTGCTGAAGAAATAGTCTTTTTCATTATTAAAGATGACTTTTTAATTTTAAAAAAATAAATAATTTCTTTTAGCCGGAGTGGGCAAGGCCTCCAAGCACTCCTTCAGAATCTGGTGAGCCTGTTTCCACGACCAAAAAACCAGAGTGGACTACCTCCGTTTCAACAGCTGCTCCTACTACTTCTGCTTCCACTTCTACTTCAACTACTACTACGTCAACTTCAACAACTACCTCAACTACTACCACTCCTAGTACTATTCCACCAGTGTCCTCAACTTCAGAACAAGAACCAAGTAATTCTGAGGTAACCCAGGGAACCTCAACATCTAGCCCAATCGACAACACAATATGCGTGGAAGATGGCTTTAGACCACATAAGGAATGTAACAAGGTTAGTTATTCTCGTCTCGAATTTCATTTAAGAATAGTGATATATGTAGATCAATTAATATCTTAACATACTTCAATTCCTCTATGCCAATAGTTCCCTGAAGTAATTCCTAAAGGCTCTCAGTGGTCCTTATAACCAGTGGTGGTTCCATTTAATTTAAATGCAGTGGAGTACTTAGACCATTCGGGGCGGGATTAATATTTGAGAGCTCACTGAAAAAACGAATAATTAAAAAAAAATATGAAACAAACTCTTTTAATAATTACAATAATGTTCTTGTCTGATTGATTGAAATATATATATATATATATAATGTGTGTGTGACGGATTGGCGATTGTTACTAACCCTGCTTCATAGACTTAAGGAATTTCTAGGGAATGTGAAGCTAGGGTTTGAAGAATTAGCCTTTAATGGACACAAAAGCTTATTCTCCTTTTGAAACAGAGTTACTATAATTTGACCCAATATTGTCCAGTGACATAAATGTGACCAAGATTTTGAAATGACCCATTTATATATGTGTGTCTGCGCGTGTATGCGTACGTGTATGTTTCCATGCAATGTTTTTGCTCTACGATTATAATTAATTAAGGAAAAACATAAATAATAAACCTAGACCCTCTTGTAGAAAGAGGGATCCGGGGCAGATAGCGCCGTATTGCATGGGAAACTGTTTTCTGACGATAAGGGATCATTACAACGATGACAATTTTGGATAGGAATTAGAAAATAACAATTCGTAAACAAACGTCATTTATTCTATGCCTTTATCCACCACGGCAAAAAATACAGGTCGTACAGAATAATTGAAACAGCGCCTTGTTCTACAAGATAAATTTTTAAGGTATCCTTGCAATATTTGTTTGACTTGAAGGGGTAGTGGTTCATATACTTTTGGAAACCATTAACCGAAGAATTCCTACGGTTCTGAAGCAATTCATTAACTGATTTAAATATATTATTGTTCATGGAATCATACAGTTTGATTTGATTTGATAGCCTTCCTCGGATAAGTTGTCTCCTGTAATCTGGTGGCCTTACCTCCTACCCGGAGAACGGTGCTTGGACCCGCTGATGGGTCCTCACCTAAACACTGGTATAAAATGCAACAAAGCTGGGCCGTGTTTAACTTTAGAATCCCTAGTTACTCTGCTGGCCCCCTCCTAGTCAACTTATTTAATATTATTTCGAATATATCGACAGTCACACAGCAAAAACTGAAATTATTCATAAGATAAAATAATTCGCTAATTTATAATTTTATGAGCTCGATTTTTCTTTCAATTTTCACTGCTTGCTGAAGACAAAGATGTAATGTTTCAAATGAGTTTTGGTTTGTTTTCCTTAAAATGCGCGAGGCCAAAACTCAAAACCTATTTTCTTCTTCTTCTGCTATTGAACTAAAGGCTTTTGCAGTTTGGCTGTCGGCATAATATTCAAGGATTTAGTTTGAATAAAAATAAATCCAACATATTTAAAGTTTTAAACTTCTTAAAATCTGTTTTCAGTATTACCAGTGTGATCATAATACACCAGTAGAGTTCTCCTGCAAGCCAGGAACTGTTTGGAATCAAGAAAAACAAATCTGTGACTGGCCAGAAAATGCTAAAAGGAAAGACTGCAAAAACGAGGAAAGTTGAATATTTTTATCACTAAAATAAAGATAAAAAAACCTGTACTCTTATGACCAAAGTCATTTACATATCTCCTTAGTTTTTGCCACATGCCTCACAATAGTTGGTATTAAGAGAATCTTTGTACTGTTCACATATCATTGTCAATAGATACCACTTTTGTCGAATTTACAAGCATTATTATATTTAATTAAAATAAATTATCACAATACTGAAAATACATTGTGTTGACACACGATATATACATGACAAAATATTAATAAGCTTTAATGTAATATTTATATTTAATTAAGAGATACTTCATTGCTATAAGAAGATTTAGTATTTATTTAATATTTATTGATATTTTATTTATAATATTTATTTAAAATAAAATAAAACATTTCAAAATGTAATGCTGTAATCATTAATTACCTAATTATCAACTATTTTCCTCAATACTTTTTCTTCTTCAAACTTTCCTCAAATGGTGAGGTCTCAGATTAAGAGTAAAAACTATTCGGTCTTTCTGAGATCCCCCAGACCACCGTAGAGCTTCATCGCTAAGTCAGTGGGGTTTGTCCAAATTTATTTTATGATGCTCTCCAGCTCAGGACATGTCTGAAGGATATGCTTTGTATTCTGGTAGCCTGTTCTACAACTACAGAGAGGACTTTCTGAAATTTTAAATTTCTAATAAAGGGATGCCCGCATCCTGTTGTGAACTGTCCTAAGTCTAAAGAGTATAACCTGTTCTTTCCTGCTCATTTTATAATTATTAATATAATCTTGTAATCATTGTATAAGGATTATAGTGTGGGAGGGCATCATTCTAACTTTGTCGTACAGCAGATATATTTATATAGATGGTCTCCTGAAGAGTTCGAGTGCAGTTTGCTACTTGACTCATCACCGACGTTTTTCTGCTAGTTGATAAGATGCTTAGATGATGAGCAAATTGATCTCACGGTAATTTGTAATTTTGAGGTGTGGTGTATTGTTACTGATGGTGATTTCTATAAATCTTGAATTCTTATCGTTTTTGGGGGGAGGGTCCTCCCCTTTCTCGCCTTTAAGGCTATACGGGGTTTTCATGGGCCAAGGAGCGTGGGCAAGGATTTAAAAGACTCCTCCGGATAAAAAAAGACTATGTTTTTTTTATCATTTTGTCTCGAATATCAGATTGCCGGGTAGCGGCGGTGCTGTGCACTTGCGTTAGCCGTTCGGCCACGCCGCCCAAAAAATATTCTATGAATAAGGTTTCGAACTCAGATCTCCAGCGTGAGAGTTGGACACCCTACACTTCAGCCACACCATCTGCTAAAAAAATCAAAATTGAACCGGTACTGATCCGGGAACCTTTTCAATGTGAGAAATGTACGCTAGCCACTGAGCTATGAGACCACTTCTTGAATTCTTATCTACATATTATGAATTTTGAAAGAATCTCATGCCATGAGTATTGGACGTCCGGCATCTCCATCGTCGGTCTTTGGTGTTGTAATCTACCCCATTAATGAAACGCGGACCACACCATAATAAGGAATCAAGACGATTAATGGAAAGAGAGTTACCATGCGGGCAGTATGTAGTTAATAATGCTACGTTAAACGGACGAGAGGATATTATTGAGGTTGATTGGATAGTGTCTGTTAGAATGGAAGGGGTCAAGGAATAAAGTAAAAATTGATGGATAAGGGGGCAAGAGTCTGTATTGCCTTGGCGATCAGTATGTGATGTCAAGTATGTGTAAATTTGAGATGTAGAATGGGTATCAATGACTAATGCAATGTCTATGAAAATTTAGTAATTCGGTTTTATTGGCTGCAATTTTACATCGAATTTCAGAAGGTGATTTTTTGGGAGTATTGACTTTTTTATTTGACGTGTTTCCAGTGAATCCCGGGGCAGCAGATCGGTTTAGCATTTGTGACGTTAGTCTGTTTAGATACTGCGAATCAGTTTCACTAAATTCGCAACAAAAAAAAAAACAGTCTTTTCGTCCGTTTCCTTATAAGACAATTTTTCCATAAATATTTTTTTAAAGTAGATTAATGGTATCTAACTAAAAAGTGCAGGGAATTTTAAATTAAAATTCAACTCCTAAAATTATATACATAGATAAAATATAAAGAATGGAGGAGAATATGATTGGTAGCGAACTGTCGTCGGAGAATGCGAGGAACTGGTAGAGACGGAGATGCTTGCTGAGGCAGGAGTTTGGTTGATGAGAACTTCATATTGAAGAAATTCCTAAAAAAAAAAAATATATATATATTTGTATGCTTTTTATGAATTAGGTTAGGAAGAGAGAGGAGAGAATCAAGGGAATGAGAAAAATGTATAAGGGGAGAGAAGGAAGAGAAAGGGATATATAATGCTAATAAATGAATGAAAGAAATAGTAAAAATTAAAAAAAAAAAAAAAATATATATATATATATATATATATAAAAATTATAATAATATATATATATATATATATATATATATATATATATATAAATTGTATACTATGCTCATACATATTGTTAATACTATATAATTGTATATTAGTTTTGGAAAATTTTCTGTAGCGATTAATAAGTATGCTGTGTTTAAAGCAACCCAATGTAGTTGGGCAGCACCCTTTTATGATAATAAAGTGATTCTCTCTCTCTCTATTTTTTAAAAAAAATTATCCAAAGTTTCGACCTCGCTACAGCTAGAAGCCAACGTTAGGTGCACAGTGCCAAGACCACTGCGCTAATAAAGAGACCTATTAAATGACTGAGTAAAGTAGCAATCAGGAGAGAGACTGTTTGGAACGTAGGTGATCTCTGTAGCTCACTAAACACTAGCTGTGGGCCAGACCCCCTTACCGTGCACCCCCCCCCCCACATCCCTATAAATTGCATATCGTTGTGTTCCTTGTAACAATTTATTAAAAAAAAGCCAATGTTCCCACAAAAAAAAGTGAACGCACTGCCCCAAAATGGCGTCCAAAGATGGCGGATTGACGACTTTGACTTTAGTTAGTTTTTTGGTCACTGAGAATCAGCATTTGGCTTAATTTCCTCATAGTTGGTCTTTTATTAAAGCTGAATAGTCATAGAATAATAAAACATGAAGAAATATAAAAAAATAATTGGCTTAAGCTATGAAAAACACCAGTAAAGTCAACTTTTTTAACAAAAAAATTTTCAAGTTACAAATCAAGCGTCGTTTGTAATTAAACGGTCTACAATAACGCAAAACGTGCTGAAATAAACCATCTGGAGAATATATTTCTCTTTCTAAAACGCTGATTACTTTTTAAAATATATGAAGCAGTTCCGTAGAAAATACACTTATGCGGCAGAAAAGCGGTACTGGCGTGGGTGCCTACAGGCCTCTACCACACCATTCAGTGCCCATAAATGGCTTAGTTATAGTGATATAATAACATTTTTGGTACATTATATTGGTTTAATTAACGAACAAATATTAATGCAATAATTTAAATGTAAAAAAAAAATTAAAATTAAAAAAAAAATTATTATTATTTTTTTTAAATTTAACCTCCTTTATTCTATACGTAGGTCGTTTAAGAAGACCTCAATTGTAAAAATGATATAATTATAATAATAAAACTTAATTAAAAAATACTTTGCTAAATATCTTGATTTTTTTTTTATTTAACGTTTGCAATTTAACACTGAGTTTGGTATATTTACTGAATCTTAGAGGTAATTAAAATTTTTATATACTTCCCAGGAAATGAGTCATATTAATACCTGTTTTATAAACTAAAATAATATATACCTAATCTGAACTATATATAATGAATAGCTGGCGGGTTGTTTAGTAAAACTCATATATCACTAATTAAAAAATTAATTTTTATTTCCTTTATTTTGTGCGGAAGTTGGACTATATCATAAATAAATAGGAAATTTTAATATTGAATGAATTATTCTCTCTGCACAAAGAAAGATAGAAAGGGTGACGCTATAAGTTCTTCTATAAACCAGAACTGATTGTTTGTTTTTGATCTCAAATTGAGGAAAAACGCGAAATTGAACCAGAAAATTGGAAAAATACATTAAGCGAACGAGAAAGGAAGTGCCAAAACCTCGGAAAAGATAAAAAGGACCAGTATCCATTATATAGCTAAATGAATCTATAGTAGACAGATGAACAGAATATTTCAAGATGCTGCTAAAAGGGGGTCAATTGCAGTTTGGATGATATTAAGTGGACGATGTAGGTTTATTATGGTGAAAACCACTTTATTTTCGATTGCTACTGAAGGTGCACACTGGGACTATCTACACTTTGAAGCAGGATATAGAGAGGTATATCGAGAAAGTTTAGTCTGTTTAGTGCATTTGCAAACGATTTTTTAAGGAATCTAAAAGGAAAACGAGCTTTTCTGAAAGACAATTAGATATTAGTATAATCCAAAGTGTGAGGCACTAAGCAGATAGAGAGCTATTTTTCATTTTATATGGACTTCTCTATAAGTGAAGACAGTCCCAATTTTCAACTTCTCTTCCAATGTGCAACTTGAGTTTCTCAATCCATATCGCTCTGGCAATCGACAATATTTCTTATTCCAGCTTCTACGATTCTTGAGTATAATTTCTTTGGTACACTAAACAGGAATGGATCTTGGTGGGTATTACATTTCCTAGTATCTCCTTTCTTGTAAAGATAAAAAATACAGTCCTTTCATATCATTTTCTATTATACTTGTTGCCTATGTACGCTCAAATCTGTGCGAAGCAGTTGGGTTTCGCCCTTTCCATCTTTCTGTGTGCAGAGAGAATAATGCATTGAAATATTAAAATTTCCTATTTTTTTATATGGTACAAATTCCGAACAATTTATTCCGAAATTTCTGAAAAATAACGAGCTATGACTAATATAAGATTCCTTAAAAAATCTCTAGCAAATGCATCAAACAGAAGGAGAGCTATGAGCGATAACTTTCTCGATATACCTCTCTATATCCTGCTTCAAAGTGTAGATAGTCCCAGTGTGCACCTTCAGTAGCAATCGAAAATA